GAGGAGACAGTCTCTTCTTTATAGGAGCTCAAATGCTGAACTGTGAGTTCCGTTGTTCATTCAGAACTACTGGGCAGGTACGTTTAGGTCTGCTGCAGCAGAACTCATAAACTGCTTTTTGTTCCCAGGTGCTCTGTCCCAGGGATTTAGGGCTTTATTTATGAGTTTCCGTTATGCTGCCGCCTTCTTTTTTTTTTTTTTTCTATCAGACCTGCCCAGCCCAGCAAGGAGGCAGCCTAGTCACTGTCGGCCTATAGCAGCTTTGCTGAGCTGCTGTGGGCTCCGCCCCGCTGCCGAGTGAACTTCCCTGCAGTCCTGTTTATATGGGTGTAGTTAGAACTGCTTTGGCGATGGTGGCCCGCCTCTGTTGAGGTGGAGTCTCTTTGCTGTGGCGGGTTGCCTTGGCAACGGCAGGCTGCCTCAGCAATGGTGGGCTGACCCGGTAATGGCGGACACCCCTCCCCCACAGAGCTGGACCGTCCTGGGTTCAGCTGTGCTTGCTGTGAAACTCTCAATCCAGAGTTTCTGGTTGCTGTTCTTTTGTGGGGTGGGACCAGCCAAGCCTGATCGCCTGGCTCCCTGCCTCAGAGCCTTTTTTAAGTTGGTGTTCCAGTCGCCTGTTGAAGAGGCGCCAGGGTCTGTTTGTTTTCCCCTGCGGCCACTCACTGCGCTGGCTTAAACAGCGGCACTGAGGTTTGTGGCGCTTTTTTTTTTTTTTTTGCCCTGGAATCTACTGTCCTGGTTCTCTGCTCAGTCCCCTTTTTGAACCGGCGAATGGGCGACTTCCCGTGGCTCCAATCGCCAGCTAAAAGGGCCCCCGGACTGGTGTATTTTGTACGGAGAACCGCGGCTCCGGGGCGCCGACAAAGCAGCTGCGCGGGGCAAAGCAGCGGCGCTGGCCGGCACAGCCGCGCTGGCACAAACAGCCGCGCTGGCGACCGTGGAGCACCTCTGCCCGGGAATTTCCTAGTCTGTGGGCAATAAAAACGCGGCGTCCACTCACCCTCTGCGCTTTCACTGGGAGCTGCAATCCTGAGCTGTTCCTAAACGGCCATCTTGGATCGTCCCTCTTTAAAAATATTTTTCTTTGAGGCTCAAGACAGTATGAGTAATGATAATTTTTGGAGGCATTAGGATCTTCTCTGAAATTTTGGCTCTGATGTACCCTGAAATCACTGTAAGAACTGTGCCTTTAATATTGATTTTCAAGCATAGTTTTTCATATTTTAACATCTGAAATCTGAAAGTGTCTTTCTTTACTAGGTTGTTTGTGGTTTTAAAAATGTAAAATCATTATGTTAAAATTGATGGCATCTTTGACTTGATTATATATTTTAATATTCAGATGTCTTATAAGAATTAAAGATTTTATACTTTGTAATTAAAACAATTATTTTATGGATTTTGTTATATCAGCTTTTAAACTTTCAATGAATTTTGAAAAACTTGTATGTTTGTGTGGCTACCGTTAAATCAAGATAAAGAATATTTCTGTCACCTCACAAAGACCCTTTTAGTCCTTTTTGTGGTCCAACTTCACTGATGGTCCTGGACAACCATTGACCTGCTTTCTGTCCCTGTAGATTAGTTTTGCCTGTTCTAGAATTTTATGTATGTAAGTGGAATGATGTAGTATGTATGTTTGTGTTTGGCCTATTTTTAGTAGCAAGTTTTTGAGATTTATTCATGTTATTGTTTGTATCAGAAGTTAGATTCTATTCATTGCTCAGTAGTATTTCTGTGAATATACCGTGGTCTGTTTCATATATTCATCTCTTGATGAATATTTGGATTACTTTTAGTTTTTGTCTATGAAAAATAAAGTTATGAATATGCATGTATAAGTTATATTGTGGATATACATTGTGATAATAACTAGAACCAGGAGTATCATGGATATGTTTCAAAATTTATTTTACAAATCTAGTCCCTGTGTTATTTGCCTGCTGTTAGGGTGTGCCAAATATTATTCAGTACCTTGAAAAAGAAGAATCTCAGTATAGGCTGTTGTATTGTAGTCCCCAACGTTTAGATTATCTATCTGTAAATATGTATATAAATGTACCTATATATAAATCTATATACATATCTCTGATGGTTTTCATCATTATTTCAGCAACTCATATTTACCAAGTTCTTACCTGTATCAGGTGATAATTATAATCTCTGCATGTGTTGTGTCACTTAAACTATACACCTGGGTTCTATCCCCATGTTGCAGTGAGGAGACTAAAATATAAACTCAAGCTGTTAAATGGTAGAGACAAAATTCTTGATTGGATTTCTGATCCTGCACATATAAATTACCTTGTAATTATGGTATCTACACTATTATGTAAAAGTGCTTCTGTGAAAAATTAAAATTGAAATTTCATCTTGAGGTATAGAAATGTATTCTTCCCCCTTTACTGCCCTTACTTGCTTCTACTGCTTTAGCACATCTGATGGGTTCAGAGTCAGTTTACCCACTTCTGCTTTGTTTTGAGGGAGTCCAGCTTTGCTCATTGTTATTAACTTGATCTCTTTGGATGTTTTGAGTTTGTGACCCTCTTTTACTAGTGGATAGGAGCATTAAGGATGACCCTTAGTCTCCTTTTTTAGGTTAAGACTGTGGTATAAAATTTATAGCTTTCATGATTAGAAGTGTAATTTGGGGCAAGTTATACTTTATGTGTATTAGTTCTCCTCTTGAAAATGGGGATAAAAAATATAGAGTTTTTGTTAGGATTACAGGTAAACACTAGCTTGTATTGCTCCATACTTAATTTATTAATAACTATTAATTGTCATTAACCAGTTAGCCTGTTTTTTTCCCTGTCTCTGTCTCTCCATGACTTTCATTTGTGTCATAATTTGGAAATATTTTTTGGTTCTCTACGTAATTTCTCATTATATTGTAAATGAGACTCACAAGTCTTGATTTTCCACATCTTCATTCTAGTGATTTTAGTGACAAATTACATGTGAATCTAACCTGGTTTCTAAAGTTTTAGGTGCCCGAAATTTGATTAGTTGTGTATAAATTATCTGAAGTGCATTACAGTAAGATGATGTTACTGTTTTCTAGTTATAAAAGTTATCCTTTATTTTCTTACCTAGACTGAATATTGAAGACCTGAGTATTTTTAGCAAATTATGTTTTTGGAAACAAACCAGTGTGGTCCAATAAGGACTTAAATAACTACAGTTCTGTGTAGAGAGTTATAGATCTTTTAGTAGGCTAGAGGAGTTAGGTGGGTATCAAACATACATTATATTCATTCTTCAAGAGTATTCACAATATAATTAATTATGATTTCTTAAACAGGTTCCAGCAACAGATAGAAATGCATTAAGTTCACTCTGGGGAAAGCTGGCCTCTGAAATCTTAATGCAAAATTGGGATGCCGCCATGGAAGATCTTACACGGTTAAAAGAGACCATAGATAATAATGTGAGTTAGAGTTTTTCAGTTATTCTCTGAAATATCTATGTATCCTTCATATTTTCTGATAAGAACAAACGGTGCATTTGGGGAATAAAAAAAGAATGACTAACAAAAAATTTTAAAATAGCTTTGGTTGACCTTACAAAAATCATAATGGATTAGCAGGTTGACTAGTTTGAATCTCCTTAAAGGAAATTGTCAAACTTCATTTGACTCTTAGAGAAAAAATGTAGCTTTCATTTCTGTTAAGCTACTATGCCCTTTTTTTCTATGCCAGTGAAAATGACACTATGCTGTTAGTGCCACCTTTTATTGCAGAAGACAGTTTTCATCTACAATTATCTAATTAAACCACTTACTATGAAATGTTCAGTTTAATTCTTTTAAAATGTTTTCTGAAATGTTTATAATTTATAACTTCTGTGAGAGTTTATAAATTAGAATGTCTTCAGTGGACATAATTGAATCTGTCTCTAAGAACAGGGTAATAATTTGGAATGTTGAGGGATCGTGCAGAGAGAAGGCATAGAGGATCAGACTTTGATCATAATGACCAAAGTCATGCCTTAAAAGGGGCCCATTTTTAATTACAGTTTGGAAGTTAGTGATGTTTGTCCTCTTGCCTCTTTCTTGTACATTAATATTTCTTATGTATACCTTTTTCAATCCTTCAGTCTGTGAGTTCTCCACTCCAGTCCCTTCAGCAGAGAACATGGCTTATTCACTGGTCCCTGTTTGTTTTCTTCAATCACCCCAAAGGTCGCGATAATATTATTGATCTCTTCCTTTACCAGCCACAGTAAGTTCTTTTACTGTGTAATTTTGACTGTATTTAGATAAAATTATATGGAATTGTTTAAACTTAAAATATACTTTATCATTTGAATTTGTTGTCACCTGGTTTTTTTTCTTCATGTAGTAGATTTGTTATTGAAAAGCCTGCATGTGACTCTTAAGTAAATTATTTGACAAAGTGTACTTTAAGCCTTTTAAAGTACGGTCCCTGGGCCAGCAGCATAGGCATCGTACAGAATCTTAAGACTCACTCTAGAACTAAATTATAATCTACATTTTAACAAGAGCCCAGGTAACTCATTTAAACATCAGAGCTTTAGAAATAAGGCTCTAAAACATGCTACTTGAAAGGATATGTGCATCCTGGGAAAGAATCTTTTTATATCATCTTTGCTCTATCTACCATCTTTTGTTTAATCTTTTAGTGATGTAAAATTCACTGCTTATGAACTGGACTATTCTGTTGTTAGCTAGAAATTATTTTGTAAAATTTACTCTTCCAGTGGAACTCAAGTACCTCTGAAACTTCTGCCTGTTATTTCTTGTTTGTTTGGAATGACAGAAAACAAGACTGCTTTATGGGAAGTCTTTAGGTGTTTGAAGATAACTTTTACTCCTCTCTGCTTCCTTCAGGCTAAATACCTCTAGTTTCATTAAATAACGTAGTTTTTCAGACCGTATAGTATTTTGATTGTCTTTTTAGATAATCTATTTATCTTCATAATTTATCTTCGCAATTGACATTTTATTCTAGGATTGTCATCTAAACTTTATAGATTACAGTGGCAATATTAGCTCCTATTGCTTGTACATAAGCTTTTTATAGCCTAAGATTGCAATAGCATATTTTAACAATTGCTTCATGTTATGAGTTATATTGTATTGACTGTATTATTGAGCAACTTTTACAACAACACTTTTTTTTTTTTTTTTTGAGATAAGGCCTGGCTCTGTTTCCCAGACTGGAGTGCAGTGGCGCTATCTAAGCTGACTGCCACCTCTACCTCCCTGGCTCAAGCCATCTTCCCACCTTAGCCTCCCAACTAGCTGGGACTACAGGCACATGCCACCATACCCAGCTAATTTTTCTATTTTTGGTAGAGACAGGGTTTTGCCATGTTGCCCAGGCTGGTCTCAAACTCCTGAGCTCAAGCACTCCGCCTGCCTCAGCCTCCCAAAGTGCTGAGATTATAGGCATGAGCCACTGAACCCAACCCTACATTAACACTTTGGTTCTTTTTTTTAATTAATTGTTCATCTGAATAAAGATTTTTTATATTTTCAATACATTTTATCTTACAGAAATGAAAATGGCTTCATATGACAAATGAAATAATAAAAATTTTAAATGTTGACTAATATCCTCCAAAATCTGAAATACCCTGTGTACCATTATCAGATCAGTTACTTGAGGGAGGATTTGCCGGGGTGGGGGGGGTTGCTTAGATTTTAAATCATTCCATTTAAAAGGATTTTGGGTCCTAATGAATATATTGGTCAGTTTTTTAAAAGTATGTGTATATGGGAATATATTCTAACTTTGTGGAACAAAAAAAAGCTCTTTTGAGCATCCAGTGAAGCCTTCCTCCTCAAAAATTTAAAGTAGATATACACCGAAAAGCCATTGGATATTTAGAAGGAAGGGAAAAATGACGTTAAAATTATCTTTGGGAACATTTTTACAGGCCAGTGGTTCTTAAACATTTTGATCTTAGAACCCATTTACACTATTAAGAATTACTGAATGTAATTTTCTTTGCATTGGTTTTGTCTCTTGGTATATACAGTAAGTCCTCAATGTTGTCTTTGTGTTAGAAACTGCAACTCTAAACAAAACAATGAATAATGAAACCATTTTTTTCCTCATCAGCTTCATACTGAAAGAGTGTTATTTGGTTTTAAAGTTGTAGTTTCCAAGAACATACCGATGATGTTAAGTAAGGATTTAACTGTATTAAAAATAAAAACAAATTAAAAATTTGCTCATTGATAAATGGTAAATTGATTAGATTTAGCACATAATAGATTTTTTAATGAAAATAACTTTAAAAACAAAATGTGACAATGTGTGACAAATTTAGTGTGACAGAGTGACATTGCTTCACATTTTTGCAGACCTTCAATTGCTGGGTTAATTGATAGCTGGATTTTCATGCCTGCTTTCTTGAAATCTGTTGTGATGTGTTTAACTGTATGACGAAAAACCTAGCTTCACACATGTAGTTGGAAAAGAAATGTGTGTTTTGTTAATATCCTTTTCTGATAGTTTTGAAGATTCTCGTTTGAATATAGTAAAACTCAACAAGAAGTAGATACAATAAAACTCAACACAGAGTAGTTTATTATTGTTATTATACTTTAAGTTTTGGGGTACATAGGCAGATCGTGCAGGTTTGTTACATAGGTATACATGTGCCATAGTGGTTTGCTGCGTCTATCCCCCTGTCATCTACATTAGGTATTTCTCCTAATGTTGTCCCTCCCATCCCCCCACCCCTCGACAGGCCTCGGTATGTGATGTTCCACTCCCTGTGTCCATGTGTTCTCATTGTTCATCAACCACTTATGAGTGAGAACGTGTGGTGTTTAGTTTTCTGTTCTTGTGTCCATTTGCTGACAATGGTGGTTTCCAGCATCATCCATGTCCCTGCAAAGGACATGAACCTATCCTTTTTTATGGCTGCATAGTATTCCATGGTATGTATGTGCCACATTTTCTTTATCCAGTCTATCATTGATGGGCATTTGGGTTCGTTCCAAGTCTTAGCTATTGTAAACAGTGCTGCAGTAACATACATCTGCATGTGTCTTTATAATAGAATGTTTTAGGAAGTAGTTTTTTTAAAAGATGGTTTTTAATATAGAATCTGAAGCCATGTCGTTAAAACTTTTTGGGATCCTAAGCTATACTGATATTCTAGACTATATTGAGTTATCTTGCACTTGGAATGGATCTTTTACTCATGCATAGTTTTATAGCATTATTCATTGGTTGTTTGGGAAATATTTACTGGTCCAGAGAGTTATGCAGATATTCTAGTGTACTGACATTATACAACACCAGAAAAACCACATTCATTAACACTATTACCAAACCCATTAGAAAAGGCTTTAAGTTATTGGAAAGCTTTCATGCTCCCAGTAGCTGATACAAATTTTCCAAAATTCTAGTTTTTCTTGAAGGCTCTAATTTTATCATTTGTTTTTCTTGAAGGACAGTCTCACTTCATTTTCTAGAAAATGTCTGCCAAATTCCCAACTCTGAATGTCTGAATAGCTTTGGTTTGTCTGTCATTATTTGAAGTAAAAGTGTTCTGTGAGAAAAGCAGCTGGTTCATCCTGTTTCTAAGTTGCACAAGTACTTTTCCTTAGGGACAACCAAGACACTGAAGTACATATACAGCAGAGGCACTTTATGAATACTTCCCATTTAGACACACAAAAGATGAGAAAGATTAGTACTTACAGGTTGAAATTTTCTAAAATTAGTAATTTGTGCTACTTGATTCAAGGACATAGTTGAAAGTTTTTGTGTTTTTTAAAACTGCAAAAGTGCAGTGGTGAAAAATATAGGGACTACTACTGTAGTTTGATGTCACTACTTTGATTTACTCTGAAGTCCAAGAAGAGTTTCTTTGTTTATAATTTAGTAATTATTAGTAACAAATCAGTTTTAGAACATTTCTATTGCCCCAGTAAGAACCATCATGCCTGTGGAACTATTTTTTAGAACAGAAACAACCTTTGGAAACAAACTACTCAGTAGTATGATGACTTTTAATTGTTTGCAAAAGTACTGTGTTACTATTTTCACTTGCTATAGGGTCAGATTGCTGTCTTATTTTCTGTCTTGTTAAGTCTTCTTAATTTAATTTTTGCTTGATTCTAACTTTTTTCCTATTGGAAATATACCCAGTTGACTTGACAGATCATTGTTACACCCATTTCCTGGACTTCATATTCTTTAAGTGGGAGAGCTGCTTACTGTCGATATTGTGTGTAATGTGCACAGTATGTCTATAATCAGTATGTGTTTTTCAGTTGTCTCTGATAAAGATTTATGAAGAAAGTATTTTTAACTTCTTTTGGCACAGTAGGTGGTTGGTTAGTGCATCCATTTACTATTATACATAGATTATGAATTGCACACTTTTTTTAGAATTTATTTTTTATATCTATTTTATTGCACTTTATGTTCTGGGGTGCCTGTGCTGAACATGCAGGATTGTTGCATAGGTACACACAATACATGGCAATGTGGTTTGCTGCTTCCATCCCGCCGTGACCTATATCTGGCATTTCTCCCCATGTTATCCCTCCCCAACTTCCCTACCCCTCGCTGTCCCTCTCCTATTCTCCCCCAAAGGCCCCAGTGTGTGATGCTCCCCTCCCTGTGTCCATGTGTTCTCATTGTTCAGTACCCGACTATGAATGAGAACATCGGTGTTTGATTTTCTGTTCTTGTGTCAGTTTGCTGAGAATGATGGCTTCCAGATTCATCCATGTTCCTACAAAGGACACAAACTCATCATTTTTTATGGCTGCATATATTCCATGGTGTATATGTGCCACATTTTCCATGTCCAGTCTATCATCGATGGGCATTTGGGTTGATTCCAGGTCTATGCTATTGTAAACAGTGCCACAATGAACATATGTGTGCAAGTGTCTTTACAGGAGAACGATTTATGATCCTTTGGATATGTACCCAGTAATGGGATTGCTGGGTCAAATGGAATTTCTATTTCTAGGTCCTTGAGGAATTGCCACACTGTTTTCCACCATGGCTGAACTAATTAACACTCCCACCAACAGTGTAAAAGTGTTCCTATTTCTCTACATCCTCTCCAGCATCTCTTGTCTCCAGATTTTTTAATGATCGCCTTTCTAACTGGCATGAGATGGTATCTCCATGTGTTTGATTTGCATTTCTCTAATGACCAGTGATGATGAGCATTTTTTCATATGTTTGTTGGCTGCATAAATGTCTTCTTTTGAAAAGTG